TTTGAATAGTCAATTGCTGAGCCTTCTCGTCATCTCCATCCCAGGCAATATTGCTTGTCTCTATTCCCATTTCCTAGCTGAATTCCATTTTGACATAAAAAAATATGAGTACCTCTCTGATGAGTGTGGTCAACGATTACTTTTCCTTTCTGTCTAATAAAGGAGTTATTTCCCCTTAACCTTCTTTTGTTCCTGACATTCCTACAGAATGCTTTGCTATTTATTGTGTCTTTTGTAGGTTGCATCTGAGTTCTTGAATTGGCCTTTCTGCTTTCATTCATACAAGTATGTACCAGGTCTTGGTGTACCTCCTTAGTCATTTGCCCTTGGTTAGTTTTTATTCATCCCACTTTAGATTTGGTTTCCAGAGTAATTTTTTGTTTCATTGATGAGGATTTCTCTCTAAATTCTTTCTTTATTTCTTTTGGTTCTGCTTTGTTTCTTTTATGCCTCTGTTCCTGCATTGAAATGGTTCATTTTTCATTATTGTCATTTCATTTAGGCATGTCTAGCTCTCCTGGCCCACTTTGTTCCTTATGTTCTCTTGTGCTGGGCCTGTGAGTTATATGAAATGTACTTAAAATGTTTTTCCCTTTGGCGTATGTTTCCCTATTCCTGGCTTGGAAATTCTGAATTTTTATCAGCTTATAGATGTTTTTATTTCCTCAAATACTCTAGCTAACTCTCAGCCCCCAGATCAGTTGTACTGGTTTATTGATTGATCAGGTAGTGTTAACTGGGAGGGAAGGTAGATGTTACTATATGTACATTTCTTATATCTGGGTACAAGCTACATCTTTCTTCATGATGTTTGAGATCTTTTCCCCTAAATTCTCACTTGATATTTTGTTCCTCTCAAGATGTTTGGCTCAATGAATTCTTGAGGGAGTGGGAATTTTTGCAATGATAAGACCTGCCCAACCCAGAGAAAGGGCCACACTATGCAATCTCTAAGTTACTCTATGAGTTATCCATCAAAGGCAAACCAAACTGGTGTCATGGTGATTCAAAGAGGCGGTCCCGGGTTTCTGCGGGTACACTGAGTGGTGATTTGTTATTTCTGAGACCTAACAAACTCCTAGCACTTCACAGAGGAAAGATTTGAGCCCCATTATTTTATGATTCCCGCTGGCTAGAGCTGGAACACGATCAGCAGCCATGCTGCCAAATAAACCCTACCGTTCCTAAAAACGGGAAGTCCTCACCAGCGGAAACTGAGAAACACAAAGGATTTTTTTTTATAACATTGAATTTTATGAATGTATTCAAATACAGCTATTTTAAACACATATGACTTAGGCATCAGTTTATCAAGAAAGTAGATAAAACATTGTCAAATAGACAGGAACTTGGTACATGGCAAGTATCTTCTCTATAGGATTTTCCTATCTACACGTGTGTCCCAACCAACCTTGTTTCAATCTAGATTAGCCACTCTTCCCGAAGGGGACTCTTTCCCTTCGTGGTCCAGTAAACCGCATCACTTTCTATTCCTAGAATAGCATTATATATTGTAACCTCCTATAGAAAGAACAGAGTGAGCTAGAACTAGCTCTGTTTTCTTTTTCAGAAGATAATCATAAAGCCTTTAAGCTTAGACCGTATTTAATATCAGTTTAAGGCTTGTCTCTGAGATTGACATTTATAGGAGTTAAATCTGAACCCTGTGTCTCCAGACCCCAAATTGTATTTTGACACATTAAATATCACCTTTCCATCCAGCGCTATAAATTGCAGTGCTGGATTTGGTTTGGTGATATGTATTATCTGGGCTCTCCGTTGACTGCTTTTGTCAGCTCCCTTGAGGAAGCAGAAGGGGAGTGCTCGAAGTCCGTATCCTGGACTCCCAACGGTGATGTCATGTGAGGCAACACTTGATGAATTTCATTCCTAAATTAAGAAAATAGAACTTGGACACATACATTAAGGTCGTGATTAACTGGAATTCCTAGGGAAATAAGTTGTAATAGAAAGAAATTTTCTGGTCACTTAGGACTAACTAGTCTCTTCCCGTACGCACTCCCACCCCACCCCCCATTTTTTAAAATCTCAGTTGTTACAAAGCTGTCTAAAATGTCTGCGTATGTTTTCCTTCAGGAAGATTTCATGTTTATTACAGGACCTTGCTTTGCCAAAGACCTCACAGGACTTTGGGGGAGTTTCCCCTCTACCTCATATACATGTTTTGTCATCTTGACTAACTGTGCTGCTTTATTGCACTCATTTCCTATGTCTTCGGTATTTATCTCTGTCAACCCCTTTAGACAGTGAGCTCTTTGGGGTCAGGACCATGTCTCTCTTGTTCAACGTGGGACCTTCACCATGTAGCACAGTGCTTGGCACCCAGAAGTTGAGTCCGACTGAGTCCTCTGAGAAGCTGACGCCAGTAGGGCCCTACATGTATAATGGGTTTCTGAGGGAAAACATTTGTGAAGGAAAAGGAGCAGGGAGCTCAAGGATGCCGGAAGGAACCTCACACTGTGGCGTAGGTCTGACCCTGTGGAGGAGGGAGCGAAAGAAGGAAGGTAGAGTAGGAAGAATCTTTGACTGCAGTACTGTTTTCAGAAAGTTTTGTCAAGGTCAATGGGGAGTCCTTGAGCCAAAATCCCTGTCAGCCGAGTCCCATGCTCACAGAACTTAGCATCTTTGCTATGCTTCGACATCGGCTGGGGCAGGCCCTGGGGATGGTGGCCCAGATACAACATGGCGGTGAGTTCAGAGCACAGCAGCATGTCAGTTAGTTCCATGCAGCACAGTAGGAGGTCTGAGATGTGCATGCTCACCACAGAAGGATCTCAACAAATGCTGGTTGGAGGGAGAGTCTGAGTACAGTGGGAGTTGCAGAAGAGGAGGGAGATTGGACTTAATATTTGCTAGTATTGGCAGAAGATATAAAATCAGGGAATGCCTCATCATTTCCTTTGTTTCTCCTTAGATGATACCTTATGAAAGAAGCCTTTCCTGACGATCCTATTAAATAGAATTCTTGCTGCCACCACCATCTACCCTACCTCCCTGACTTTGGTTTTTAAACATAAAAAAAAACAGTTTTATTGAGGTACAATTAACATACAATAAAGTACATATTTTAAGGGTATAATTTGATAATTTTGACACATGTGTATAGCCAGGAGACAGTCACTGCAACCAAAATTATGAATCTATCCATTGCTCTGCCAAACTTCCTGACTCTGGCCCCGTCCCTGCCCTGTGTCCCCTCCCCAACAACCACTGAACTGCTTTCTGTCACTACAGGTTAATTCTCATTTGGGAGACTTTTTTATAAATGGAACCGTAGAGTATGTAGGGTTTTTTGATGTGGCTTCTATGGCTTCGCATAATGTTTTTGGGGCCCGTTGCCGTGGTAGCATGGATCGATAGTTTATTCCTTTGTATGGCTGAGTCATAATCCACTGTATGTATATACCACAGTTTGTTTTGCTGTCCTTCCTTAGTTCTATTTTCTCTGTAGTACTCATCACTACTTGACTGTGTGTGTCAGTATATACACAAACTATACATATACACAACGTATATACAAACTATATATGCGTGTCTGTATATATCTGTTATATCCGGGGTGCTTGGCACGTGGTAGATGCCCAATAAAATATTTGTTGAATGACTCTCATCTACGCCCCTGGCTTGAATTTTCATTCATATGCTGTGAAGACCTCCACCGGTGCAGAAATGCCTTGTGTCCCCAGGGGAGAGCTGAGAATGACAAAGGTTTCAGTCATTTGGAAACTTGGCAGATGATCTTTATTAACTGAGATATAGAACACAAGAGATGGAACTGTGTGTGTGTGTGTGTGTGTGTGTGTGTGTGTGTGTGTGTGTGTGAGATACATAGAGATCAGTTTGGAGTAGGCTGAATTTGAGATGCCCATGGAGGGGTTGCAGATAGGAAGTTTTCGAGCTCAGAAGAGAGGTTAGGCCTGGGTTAGGGAGTTCAGCAGTCCCATAGATGAGATGAGATCATGGGTGGGGGGAGATGTAGAACGCAGGGAGGGTCAATAACGTTAAAGTGACAGGCAGAAGAGGAGGAAGAATGGAAAAGCAGAGAAGAGTAGCCATAGCTGTAGGTGTGTGTGTGTGTGGGGGGGTGGGTGGCAGGGGTAGGTTCACTATAACAAGGGAGGAGGAGAGACTTTTAAGAAGAGACTGGTCGACTGGGAGGGTTGCTGCCAAAGGTCACATTGGATGAGGACTGAGTAGAGGTTCTGATTCCCTAATTTTGGAATAAGTGAGGAGATTCTTAATTCGACAACTTTTTATGGAGTTGCAGAAATAAAAAGGTACCATGCATCATAAGCAAGGTGCAAGGAAGTGACTCAGGAGTTCAGAGGTCGACATTTGAATAGCGCTAGAATGTTGTAGTTGTAAGGGATTTTGGTGATTGTCAGAATGTTGATGTTGTCCTCTGGGTATTTCCTCTGTGAATCTTACCCCAGACCTTTAGTTAACAACAACAGCAAAGCTTTGACAAAGCTTTAGTTAACAACAACAGCAAAGCTTTGATAAGATATTGATGTTTTAATCATTTATCCCAAAAAGCCACACTGGGGTGGCAGACATACATTTCATTAGCAAATCATAACTGGAATTTTGAAAATTGCCTCTTGGTTGTGCTCTCATTCATAAATTATAATCAAGAAAAATAAATTGTAGGAGTGAAGATTAATCTTTTAACAGACAAATTAAATATCGGTGTTCAATGACGTCTACTTGGTGCTATAAATTGGTTTGTGCAGAATTTATGAGTCAAACCTAGGCAATTAATTCTAATGGTTATTCAAAAAGAATCAGTCATAAAGATAATTGGGAGAAAGCAGGGATTCGTTAAGATAAACACTAATTTTGAATAATCAAGATTTTACTGTATTTAAAAAAAATGCATTGTCTTGCCTTGTTCACTTCGCGAGCGCGCGCGCGCGCGTGTGTGTGTGTGTGTGTGTGACATTCTGCTTGCCGAAACGTGAAACACATGTTTGTTTCAGGATCAGATCTGCAAGTATGTCTCCCCAAGGGTCCAACGTGCTGCTCCAGAAAGATGGAAGAAAAGTACCAACTGACCGCGCGCTTGAACATGGAACAGCTGCTTCAGTCTGCAAGTATGGAGCTCAAGTTCTTGATCATCCAGAACGCCGCAGTTTTCCAAGGTGAGTGCTGGGGATCATTTTAGACGTGCGCCCCTTGGTATCATTCTCTGGGCGCTGGGCTTTCAGATGCTAAGTCTAATTTATAAATGACCATGACAGCGTTAATACTTGACAGAGAAACCTCCCAGTGAGAGATTCTGTTTCAGGAAAAACACAGTTTTTAGAGACACTGCGTTTCACTCTTTGGAGAGGCAGGCATTGTCCAAAGTCATTGTCCAAGGACATTCTGTTTACCTGTGTGCGATGGCTGCAAATCCCTACAGAAAGGGTAAATGATATCTTCTCTCAACAAGCCCTGAAGACCAGTTTAAAAAACAACAACAACAACAAAAGAGGTTACTTAAATACCAGTTTTCTCCAGGCATGGGTTAGATGGTTGTGGAACACGCCTGAACTCCTTCTGACCACGGGGACCATTTCCAGAGAGATCGGGAGCTTGGCTCAAAGGCGCTATGTTTTCTCATTTGTGTGAGTGGACCACCTCTTCTTTCTTTGTGAGTCTCCGTCCTTACTACACCTGTGTGTGACTATAAAAGGACCTGTGGTGGCGTTGCCAGGATGGGTCAGAAATTCCATTTCTCCTCACTGACCAGTAGGACCAATCCAGCAGGATGGAGAGTACCTCCTTTGATTCAAAGACCCCGCTAGGAATGATGATGACGTGCTCTCTGTGTATTTGTTCCTTTAGTCTTCGCAATAACCCTAGGAAGTCGGTCTTATTATCAGCATCCCCTTGTAAGGGATGAAAAGCCAAGGCACAGAATGGTTAAGTAATTTGCCTGAGGCCACACAACTAATTAATGGGGGAAAGTAGGATTTGAATCCAGGCGGCCTTGCTCTTAGAGCCTATATATATATATTTTTAAATGTTATTTATTTATTTGACAGAGAGAGATCACAAGTAGACGGAGAGGCAGGCAGAGAGAGAGGAAGGGAAGCAGGCTTCCTGCCGAGCAGAGAGCCCGATGTGGGACTCGATCCCAGGACCCCGAGATCACGACCCGAGCCGAAGGCAGCGGCTCAACCCACTGAGCCACCCAGGCGCCCCATTAGAGCCTATATTTTTAACTACCTCAGTATGCTGCCTCCTGGGAGGGGAAATTAATTACAGATATTGGGGCTTGCTTCTGCCTTCCCTGAAGCACAGGACACCAGCTCCCTTTTTCTTGCTCTACAGAGAATTGGAGTTTAGATAGAAAAATCTCTTCTGATGACCTGACATTCCAAATTTGTAGGTTTCTGGCACCTTGTTAAGGATTAACCTCTTTGAATTATAAGGTAGGTTGATTATAGCTTATTTTGTGTATTGCAAGGAAAATCTTAGAATTAGCTAAGAAAATTATTCCAATTAGCTAATAAAGCCTACATTCATGATAGTTCCCTGGGTCAAAGCCTCAGGGGATGTTGGGTTGATTATATGAAGTACAGTATAGAAGCCTGAGGTATTTGTTCACTTATGTATGCGGTCAGACTCTTGTGAAGAGTTTGTGGAGACTAACAATTTGGCGATCAAATGAATAATTTAAGCTGGCTTTAAAAATACATGTGCCATTCATGTACTTCTTAGATTGGTTTTGGAGCTGAGCTGCTGACTGAAAGTGGGGTGGTAAGAAGTGATGGGACATGAGAATTTTGTTGAAGCCAAGAGCTGAATCTGACTCTTTGGGGTGGTCAGGGACTTTTCAAAATGGAGTGTTTGTGAGTGGTTTCATTCGCAGAAGAACCAGGCCCACTGGTGTTACCTGACAGCTGTGGGCCTGCTGGAGGTGGGCGGGTGAGTGAGCATGCTGGTAGTCCACTATGTGGAGTAGCGGTAATACCTGCCCTCTGAGGGCCTTGGGTGTCAGCCCTTCTGTCTCTACCCAGTCCTCCATCTTTTTTTCCAGTCTTCCATTTTGCATATTGTGTTTTCTAGGCCTGGAGCAGCGCAAGATGAGGAGAGAAAGGAAGTTCTGACCAGATTTTGATTGGCTTAGCGTGGAGGTTGGACACTAGTCATGTGAACAGAGGCTGGAAAGGGGGGAGGGTAGCACCTACTACTTGTATCTTTTCTCTCTTTTTCTCACACACACACATGTACACACACAAATATGTATTATTTCTCCAGTTGTGAACATAGGAGGACAAGTCTGGCAAAGGAACATGGAGACAACTCAGTGATGTCTGAACTCGCGGCTGGGGCCTTCCACCTCATCACCATATGGACTCAATTCTTTCTCTTGTTTCATTCCCTTATTCTTTCCCTGCTTCCCATTTAGAGCAAATAAACCCCATAAGAAAAAAGAAACCATGGTCCCAGACCTCAAGGCAATTATGCCATATTTGTAGAAACATCGCCCCCCAATTCTTTCAGTAACGAACATTGGGAGGGACAAGACGAAAATCAGGGACTGAGGTAAGCTGATGTATTATTGATTGCTAAGAAAAAGAGAGGAGCCACTTTTGTCCCCCTTATAATTACTTACTATTTTGACGAGCTGAAATTGGGAGGGCACAGTTGTTTCTTCCATAAAATACGCTCCCTCCCCAAGATTCCAGTAGACCAAATCCTTGCTCCAATAATTCAGTCCTATGAAATTTGATGCAAGCTATTTCCCCCACCACATGAAGTTGAAGAAAGCTCATCTTGATATTGGCCTAGATCCACAATCTCTTTAGGATTCCCTCACTCTTCCACACTGGGGGTATTTAAGCAGCGAATGCTTTCTGCAAATATGTGCACAGTTCCACGAGCAATCCTTACTGCCTCAATTTGGATTTTATGTCTTCGTTTGCAAGAAGCCTTTGCCCTCATAAATGAGCCTGGGGCCCTTCGCTACAGCGGTTGGAGTGCTCTCTTGCTAATGTTGTTTTGATAATGATTGAAGCATTAAAAAAAGTTGTTCTTTATTTTCAATCTTTGCATTGCCTCGTTTCCGAAATTTAATTTACTCGGATGTGCTTAGTAAAATGGGGCAGCACAATCGTTTTTTGTTTCTGCTTAATTAATTCTTTTTGAAAAACTCCACTAAAAGATTTTTGTCTCTTTTTCTTCTCCCCTACCTCATAATAATTACTACGATAATACTACTAATGGCAATTTATTAAATGCCTACTATATGATACTTACTTTTACATAATTCTCTCGTTGGATTTTCCCAGCAGCTCTCTGAGGTTCCTACTGTAATTATCTCCATTTTACAGATGAGGAAACTCACTGATGCCTTGGCTTCTTTCGGGTCGTCATCTGACATGGTCTTCCTAATTAATGTTTTATCCTCTCTCTGCCACCTCTGCACGTTCAATCCTGGAGCTCTTTTTTCCTTGCAAGATGGCATTCTAACTGTCAAACGTGTCCCATCAGGGAGTATTTGGGGGGATGGGCCTAGGAATTTTTTCTGTATTTTGGATGATTCCAGTCTTCCCCAAGGTACCCCTGACTTTGAGGGAGAACACCTTCAGCTTTTCTGGAAGTTGCCTAATCCGCAAGAAGCCAGTTCAGCTTCTTCAGAGGGGAGAACTAGAGTGGTTAAGCAGAAGACATCCCTGTGCTCCTGGAATGCTATGGAGTTCCTGCTGAGGTCACTGAGAAATTCTCAGGCCCTCGTTCAGTACCCACTACGGTCCCACATTTATGCGTGGTCTTTTTACAGGCTGGATTTTCTAGTTTTCTAGCAGGCGGTAGGTTAAGGAGTTAGGTGGAAGGATTATGGAAGAATGCCAGAGGGAGGTATCTATGAACAGCAAGAAGTTATGAGTGCCAGGAAGGGTGGAAAACATGAAAGTAGACTTGGGGCTCACTGAATGGGGCAGTCCGGAGGACATTCAGTAGAGGGGTATAACCTACGTGCCTCAGTAGCCCCTGTATTATAGGAGGGGCAATAGTCCATGTCTGTAGTGACGGCTGCAAATCAATAAAGAAAGATCAAGTTACTTGCACCATTTTTCTTTTCCTTCACATTTTCATTTGAAGGAGCTAAAATATATTTGGGGGAGTATGTGTCTGAAAGGCAATGGAAGAAACACTGGGCTTGGAGTCAGAACATCTCAGTTCTAATTCTAGTTCTGTCTTGGTAAGCTTTATGACTACAGGGGCTTACTTAGACTCCATTAGCCTCAGTTTTGTGATCTGCAAAATGGGGGTGATAATTACAGTCCTGCTTACCTCCTAGGGGAGAGGTAGTTATATGAAAGTGTCTTGAAAACTGTAAAGCCCCGTGTCCCAGCGTTATTATCTCTAAAGCTATTACCTTGAAAGCACCGGGGATGCCAGATAAATGGCGCATTTCCATTACAGACATGAACCCCAGTAAAGCTGGAGGCCATGATGCAATTCACCCACGTTTGCCCCCTACAGAGGATATCCCGGCACAGGTGAGAGAGCACTTAGGTAAAGTAGCCTTTGGAAAAGGGGTTTGTTTTGTGCCTTCGTAGATGTGATATATTTTACACACAAACAAGCAGCTAGAGTGGAGGGTTTGTCACATTCAGGCCATACATAGTTTTTTCAGGCCATATTTTAATTGCATTGTCTGGCCTGTGGAATCATGGCGGTGCTGGATGGTTTTCTCCTACCTGTTTTCTACGGCAGAGACAACACATTTCCACATGGCGGGGGGCTGTGGTGACAGGGGGACAGTGTTTCTGTGCTGCTGTTTCTTCACTCCCTTGTTTCCCATTTCCATCTGCTCTTGGCAGTTCTTACACTTTTTTTTTTTTCTGTCAGATTCCTGTCTCTCCCACTCCCCCTAAATAAAATTGACCTTGGGTAGAACACCCTTTTCCATCAGCTCAGAGCAATTTCTCCAGTCATTTCTGCTTGAAATAACTGTTCAGGCAAAGCTTTTTTTCCTTCGCAGTTAATATGTGACTAAATAATTGCTCGAATGTTGATAAACATGTTTTTGAGATTCAATCATTTGTTCATTTAGTTTTTATAATGTTGCGGGGGCTTTTAAAGTTAGCACTGAGCCATTTTTCTCCATTTCACAATTTTCCCCTTTGACTAGTCTGACAGCTCT